TTGCTGTACCGTATGCTTATATAATTTCTGGCAAATTAAAAACGTAATTCTGGTTAATAATACCAAAATACATGGTATGTAAATTATTCATTTGGTAATTTATTTATTTATTTGCTGTTCATATGGAAACTGTTTACCGGAAATTCTGTTTTCAATATTACAGTTCTTAATACCAAACATTTAGAAACAAAAAGTACAAAGCTGAAAAGCATATTTTACCGAATAAAGAATTTTTATGCCATGCTGTAAGGTATCATGATAAAATTACCAAATTTTACTTCATTTACCAAACTTTAGCACATATTATAAAATTATTTTTCAATTTTACCAAAATCATTACTAAAGCGGTTCAAAATTACCGAGCATTTTGGTGTTCTCTTAGAGTTAGAAATATGATAAATTTTACCATATCCGGGTAGTTCTGGTTAATATTTTTTTTATATTTGTAATAAGATTAAGTAATTACAAAAAATATATTAATTTTAACTTTTTAATGACATGTTAAATTAACGATAAAAATGCACCAACAACTTTTTGATGCAGTTTTGTTGTTAACATTCGTATTATGAACTCATTTATAACTTTAAGTAATGATTAAAATGCAGAGAGTAAGACTTCTGATAAAATGAACTCCATTTTTAAATTAATATATCTGTCACAAATATATAAAATTATATCTTTATATGTGAACAAATCTTATATGGGCTGAATAACAGCAATACCATTTAATGCATTTATTACGTATGTTTTAAGTCTAAAATTATATATATATCGCTTAAAGATGTTTGTTTTATACACTCACAAGAAAAGCTCGACACAAAGAAAACAAAAGCACCACATTTCACGACGACATGATGAACTGTATTTATTAAAAATTGAGAAGTAAGAATGTAAATGTATTTCAACAGCGCCATCTATTGTTAAGTAACAAGGCAAGGGGCGAACATTCACCCCCGGGTTGAATGACATATTCAACTGCTTAAATTTAAACAATCAAAAACAATTCAATACAGTGTACACAATAAACTAAACTATTCAAAATACACATAAATTGAAATTTTCACACTTATTGATCATTCGAGAAGGGTAATATAAAAAGTTTAGTAATTGGACGTTTAAAAATTCCATTTTTAGTTTTCACTAATACTACTCTAATTTTATTATCTTTACCAGAATACACTTCAAGAACTCGACCAAGAGGCCAGTTACACACAGCCAAATTATCTTTCAAAATTACCATATCATTAATTTTTACATTGTTTTTCTCAAAATACCATTTCGTTCGATTTTGAAGTGTACTCAGATAATTACTTGACCAAAGCTTCCAAATTTGTAGTACAATTTTTGATAACTTTTGTCATACTTTCAACCTGTTCAGTTAAACTTGGCTCGACTATCGCTGTGAGGGTACGATCTACGAAAAAATGGCTAGGAGTTAAAGCTTCAAAATCCTCAGGGTCACATGATAAAGGGTCGAGAGACGTGAATTGAGAATGCCCTCAATTTGGTTAAGAATGGTAAAAAATTGTTCATAAGTAAATCTAGAATTACTCATAACTCTCCTAAGGTGATGTTTAACGGCTTTTACTCCAGCCTCCTAAAGGCCCCCTTGATGTGGCGCTCTTGGTGAAATGAAACTCCACTCAACTCGTTCCTCGCACAAAAAATTACTCAAATTATTATCACATTTACTCAAAATTTCTCTAAGTCTTTTTAGCTCTAATTCCGTACAAACAAAATTGGAAGCATTGTCTGAAAAAATGAGCTCAGATTTACCTCGTCTACTAAAGAATCGCTTTAGAGCCGCGATGAAGGCTTCACTAGTTAAATCTGCAACTATTTCGAGATGACATGCTTTAGTGACCATGCACACAAATGCACATATATACATATACCTTGCTTAAAACTCCTTTTCTTTCTTTTGGATATTTAATCCAGAAATGTCCACAAAAATCCAATCCTACATAGTTAAAGGGAAAACTCTGAGAAACTCTCTCGGTTGGCAGTTGATTCATAATTTGTGAACAAGTAACAGGGCTAGCCTTAAAGCAATCTGCACAATTATGAACTAATTTTCTACACATATTGCGACCGTTTAACGGCCAGTATTTTTGTCTATCAATCGATAACAAAGTTTGCTAACCAACATGCAATTGTCTTTTGTGGATCATTTCAAGAATTAAATTGATCAGTCTATGATTGTTAGGAAGAATAACCTGGTGTTTTTTGTCGAAACTCAAATTACTGTGTACCAATCTACCACCTACACGCAAGACACCTTCTGTATCTAAGAATGGTGAAAGATTTTTAATTTTACTTTTTGGGTTAACCATACCCTTACTGGACAAGTCCTTCACTTCCGAGTAAAATTCCACTTGTTGTACCAGCCTTAAAAGTGTTGTTTCCGCACGTTGGATTTCACAGATCTTAAGGGGTCCAACTTGTATGTATAATGGATTCCTACAATTTTTGATGAACCTGTAAAGATAACTTAAAACACATACAATATTTTTATAATTATTATGTAAAGAAAGGATCTTGTTCAAAAGGTTATTGTCCAAAGCCATAGTCCGAGCTTTTCTTTCGGAATTAAATTCTTCACAAGAGTAGTCATATTCATTCGTCAGCGGGGAGCTTGTTTGCTCATTGGATAACTCACCTTGTTCCAGGAATGGTGGGCCATTCCACCAAATTTATTGATTGTGAATGTCACGAGGGCTTAACCCACGAGAAATAAGGTCGGCAGGATTAAGAGATGACGGCACGTGGGTCCAGTGACAGTTTTCTGTCAAGGTTTGAACTTTGGAAACACGATTGACGATAAATGTCTTCAGGTGGTTCGCAGGTGTATTCAACTACGCTAATGCAATCGTAGAATCAGTATGAAGTACAGTTTCGCAAATTTCTAATCGTAAAGATGCACGTAATTTTTGCACAAGCTGGGCTAAAAGAACACGGGCACACAGTTCAAGGCGGGGAATCGAAATCACTCGAATTGGTGATATACGTGATTTGCTTGCGAGAATAGTTACTTTAGCACTATGCGTTGAACTGAAACATTGAAGATAGACTACCGCTCCATAGGCTGCTTCAGACGCATCCGCGAATCCCTGAAGGACGTTGAAATTCGTCCGAAAGAATAAATCTATCAATTTTCGCATCCTCGATGCACTTTAAAGTTGTCACAAAATCATTCCAATCCTCACTGATTGGATTTGGCAGAACTTCATCCCAATCTAGTTTTTGCTGCCAAAATCGCTGTAATAGGATTTTAGCTCTCGTCAAGACTGATGCTAAAAAAACCAAGAGGGTCGTATAATTTAGCTATCACGCTGAGAACTTCATGCTTAGTGTACGATGATTTTACTGCGGTTGGCACCTTATAAACAAACTTATCTTCGAATGGCTTCCAGCCAGGGCCGGATTAACCTATAGGCACACTAGGCACGTGCCTAGGGCCTACGAAATTCAGGGGCCTACGAAAAACTTGGGAGAAAAAAATTTGTTGACAAAAATAATTTAGCTTTAAAAACAACAAGTGTATTTTGCACAAAATTATGAAGATACAAATAAAAATATAATATTTTTCGGTAATAAATTATTTTGCAGAATCTTATGATCTAATATATTACTTTTTTGCGATTTTTGGATTCAACGAAATCTTGTATTATGCTGTCGAATTCCAAACTACGCATTTTATTAAAATAGTATTAAATCATTTTTTTTCTATTAGTAAACATTTAACCTACCTTGCAAATTTATTTATAAATAATTTCAAAAGATTTACTTTTGACAATGTTAATTTCCTTCACTTAGTTATCATAGTAGTATCATGAAAACTATGAAGCTATTTGTAGTATAAATATTTCTTGTAATTAATCTCACTATCAATTTCACTGTTTTCTTTGCTGGTTTGTTGTTGTATTGTTGACGTGAAGTGTTTACATAGTTATCGATCGAACTAATCATAATGGTATTATCGATATCAACTGCAATATCGGCAGTATGTCGGTATTGCAGATAAAGTTCGATAAACAAATTTGTAAATTAAAATCCATATTAATAAAAATGTAAAAAAAAATATGCAAGAAAATTTTAGCATATATTTTGAAAAGAGGGGAGGAGTGGGGGAAGGAGGGGAGGGCCCAAAAACGGCTATGCCTAGGGCCCACGAAAGGTATAATCCGGCTCTGTGCCTAGGGCTTACGAAAGGTATAATCCGGCTCTGCTTCCAGCTGATGCCCAGAGCTTTGACCGATAAGTCATTATGGATAGAAAATGAGTGCTCGACATCAGATGAAGATGAACTATTCCACAATTGATCAGAATTCGAAGACCATTTGTGAAGTTTCATTCCGCAAGACTGCAGAGAATCTCGAAGTTGGAGTTGTAATTGACGTGCAGTTTCCAGTTTCTGGATTCTTCCGAAGCCAAAGGATATCGATATTTTTCATCTTCGGCCAGTTGTTGCAGAGTTCTTATTACAAGGAAGGGGGCATTGGACATTTCGTAAGTTACTGTTTTCAACCTTTAAACTGAAACTTCAGCATCAAGTCCAGGTTTCTACACTATTCTCTGAAGGTCTCTTTGATCTGGAACTATCAAGATTTGTCTATACATCCATTTTATGTCCGTAGTAAAGGCATATTTGTGCCTTCTAAAACGAGAAATTGTTTTAAACACATCTTCCCTTACTTCACCCTTCATTAAAATGTCATTCAAACTTAGGCCTGTTGTAGTGGGAGATGAAGCATTGAAAACGACTCTCATCTTAGTAGTCAATTTATCAGGGCGTAATATTCCATGGTGTGGTATGTAGTAATGTGTGGGTTGCTCACTTTCTTCAATCACCTTTTCCAAATGGCCCAGTTCCTCTTACTCAAGCAAGAAATCCATATATAACGACAAATACTCTGAGTCCCTAGACAAACGCTTCCACAAACAATTAAGTTGCCTCAAAGATATGTTCTTAGACTGTCCAAGACACAACGGATCCTTACTCAGGGCATTGCAACTACATATCTACCATCAGCATTTCTTCTATGGGTGCTTACAAAATGATCCTCACACAAAGACGCCTCTGCATCCTTTGCAAATTCTACTTCGACATTTTCAATTTCCCAAAATCGTTTTAAAGTTTTATTCAAGTCATCATCAAGAATCAACCCACAATGAACCTGACCAACATCTACCTGATCAACGCTGCCACTCACGACAAAACCAAACACAGTATTTTGCAACAACAATTTGGAATTTTCAGCAAAAAATCGTTCCGGCTGCAACAATTCGTAGAACACCTCCGCACCTAATAACATATCAATTTTCTCAGGTATGTTGAAATTATTATCAGCTAATGACACGAACTCTGAAACACTAACATCCACATCAATTATTCTATTTTGAATGAGATCAGTATTTTTGTCAACCACTAGCATCGATAATTCTCTAACAAAACTCTTATCCTTATTTGCCACTAAAGTTCTAACACATTTGTTTACTACCATAGTTGCATCATTAACACACGAAACCACGATATTTATTTTCTCCAATCTTAATTGCAACCTCTGCGCGCACGCCTTAGTAAACAAACATGATTGAGACCCAACATTCAGCAAACATTTAACTTCAATCCACTCAGAAAATTTATTTTTAACATGTGCGCGTACTGTATTCAGAAGTACGTTTTAAGGTTGTTTTTCTCAAGGCTAGTCGCTACAATTTGCGGTGTCACTTCCAAAGTTTCCTCTTTCTTCCCTGGAACAAAAGCTGGGGCATCTAATTTGAATTGAGAAGTGGAATGATTAAAATATTCACGCGGGAAATGAATCATCGTGTGATGAGGTTTAGAGCAAAAACGGTTTTTCTTTGAACGGCATTCACTTAACCTGTGAGGTGCGAAACAACGAAAACAAAGATTATTCCCTTTCAATACCTCAATTCTCTCATATACTAACATAATCTTAAATTGGGGCAGGTAGCGAGGGGATGTATATTTCTGCACAGAACACATTTCGAATTATTAGTCTCCGAGACAAACACTTTAGATATATTTTTATCTGTTCGCAAATGAGAATACTTCAGAAGTTTATTTCCTCCCACGCGTTTTATTTCACCAGCACTATTCCGATTGATTAACTCACTTGAGCCTTTAGCTCTCGATGACAAGTAAATATCACATTCACGTCCAAGTTGGTGAGGTAAGAAAAATTTTTCACCTTGCTTAATCCCAATGTGAGTCATTAATTCCCGTTCAAGGGTTTCGAAAATGTAATCAGAGACAATAAGATCGCGTAAAGATTTAAAATCTGCAACCTTACGTATTTGGCAGTAATAATCAAAGGATGCACATAGTCTAGAAGCAAACTGAACATTACTCTCAGTCGGTAATTTCCTAGCCCTTTTAAAATTATTCAGGCATTCTTGGGGAGTAGGTTCAAATTCTTTTAAAACCAAATTTTTTAACTTTTCGTAATCACACAAATCTCCGTGACAAACATACACTAATAAATTATAAACTCTATCTCCTAAAAGATTTAACAGAATTTCGGCTTTAAATTTATTAGGCACTGATTTATTTTCGAATGCTTTTTCTAACGAATTGAAAAATAAATTAAACGATTCTGACTTAGCCGGCACTGAAATTGTTAAAACTTTAACACTTTTGATTGAACTTTCCAAACTATCAGAATCTGTTTCTCCATTCACTGCAGTCTGAGATGCATTAGCTAGGTTACCACAAATTTTTGCCAACTCTAACTGTTTTTCTAATTGAGCTAACTTTAATCTTTCTAACTCTATTTCCTGTTCCGATAGCTTTTTCTAACCTTTCCTTTTTTTCTTCTAAACCATGCTCAATTAGATCACGCACAAACTCAATATCAGTTTCAACTATATCACTATTTTCAATTAAGAGCTTTAAATCTACTATATTAGGATTATCTGGAATTATTAAACCTAATTCCTGAGCAATCATAATCAACTCATCTTTTTTTAAAATTCAATTCAAGTGCCATTTTAATATCAGCCACTGCTAAAACAACACTTTCAAATTAGAAATGCTATCAATTAAACTCCACACCCAAATCGAAAGCAATTACTAAACGAAATTACTTAACAATGTAAACAACACGCAAAACGAAAGCAACTCTACTAAGGCAATATTAAACATACTACTAGGCAGTATTAATACATATCAAAAACACTCAACACAGACCAAAAAGAAACAAAAAACACAATCGAATACGACAAAAAACATTTAAAACCAAACTAGGCAGAAACGAAAGCACAACCAATTCAATTCAATAAAACAAGGCAACACAATTCTCAAATTACAACTAATCACTAATCGAAAATTCCACTTACCCTAAAAATCACTTCAAACTAACACCACTACCTTTTTAGAATTTAATTAATAAGCCATAATGTATAACTCCCTACGCAACACATTTGAAATCGCAATTTTTAAAAATTTCCTCTATCACAAATTTAAATTCACCACAAAACACATTCCATAGTCATTGACTAACACCTCCGAGCTCATGTCGGACCAAATGTTTCATACACTCACAAGAAAAGCTCGACACAGAGAAAACAAAGGCACCACACTTCACGACGAAATAGTGGACTGTATTTATTAAAAATTGAGAAGTAAAAATGTAAATGTATTTTAACAGCGCCATCCATTAAGTAACAAGGCAAGGGGCGAACAATATTTATGTTGGATATTAAGTAAGCGTTTACTAAAATTGTTTACAAAAATTGAACAAATTTTCTTTTTTATTTTGCAATTGATAAAATAGTATTTACGTACTTTTTTTATACACGGATTAAAAAATTTTGATAAACTTACCGTACTGCATGTTAATGGCTTTCCGGTAAAAAGGTCATAAGTCTGGTAATAAAACAAAAAAACGTTATTTATAAACTATTCATTTGACATTAAATAAATAATCCAAAGAAACTGAAGCTGTAAGATATTACTTGATTAAAAACTTCATTCTCTTCAAAAATGTATAAATTGGAAATAACAGTTGACATGTATCAAGAGCTCAAAGATAGGCGCCTATTTTCAAGGCTTACCAGGCGTAAATGAGAAGAAAAAAAGTGATTTAAAGTATAAAAAGTAAAATTGCTAATGAAAAATGGAAAAATAAAGGTGAGAAATAAATCTAGAAAAACTACAGTAGCCGAGGTGAATCACAGTAGTGAGAAAAGCCATAGTGGTGTGGAACTAATGTCATTAACATTAGTTTCTCATCACTTTTCCATAGAGCTTGGAAATGTATTTTACCCTGATTTGCCTCTCATAGCCACTGGGATTTTTTAAATTTTTTTTTCATCTTTTTTCATTTCAGCTGCTCTGGTTCTTCTAGTTTTGTTTCTAATCTTTATTTTTCTATTTTTCGTTGGCAACTTAATGTTTTATATTTCAAATTTGAAACAAATAAATTGTTTTAATGCCATGCTCTACGGCAGGGGTGTCAAACTCAAGAGCAAACTTGGGCAAAAATAAACAATGCTCTTTAGGTGGGCCTCGAAAAAAAAAGTTTTAAAAAAAACAGTGTTTACAGAAACAAATATTTTTATTTTGAATAGTACATTGTAATAAGCATATATAAAGCAAAATTATTGTCTGACATCTCTTCTTCTTTCCTATTTCGGGAGAAATTTTATTGGCCGAGACTACTTTCAAAATTGACCCAACGAGAGCTATTAATATGGTTTCGGACAGGAGATTTATTTTCATTCATAACGGAAAAAAAATTGCTTGCACTGATAAGTACTTCCAAACATGGAAATAATTTCATATGCGAATTTTCGAGTATTTTCAAACCTTGCCGGTAAATATTTGTAAAATTCAGGCACACCCACTTCAATGAATTTTGTCATCAAATTTGAGTCGCACTGATTCTTAATCACTTCCATTTGCATATTACTGGGTACTGATTCTATATTTATTGAGAAAATCGAAGAAAGCAAAAAAAATTTGTCTTCCAAAGAATTAAAATCTTTAAACCTTGTTTCAAATTCTGTTCTAAGATTTGAAATTTTTTCTGCGTATTTTTGATAAGATGCAGTATCCCTGGAATGGCAGGTGCCGCAAGCCAATTAGAATTTTACATTTTCGCGTGTTCAATTTAAAATGTACCGTATAGTTTATAAATAAAGTATATTATAATTTTATATGCCAGTTTCCTTTCTAATTCACATTTCTATTTTATCTTTACTTTGCGTTGGATATATTGACTGGGCTGCAAAAATGTTCATCTCGGGCCACATGCGCCCACGGGCAGCGAGTCTGACACCCCTGCTCTACGGTATCATACAAAAATTACCAAATGCTGCTACGTTTACTAATTTTTTACATATCATTACATGACATTTTATGGTTAGTTTTACCAAAATCATTACCTAATCGATTCGGTAAAAATTACGGAATTTTCTGGTGGTTTTGACCATACTATTTTTTTCTCACTGCAGCTAAGTGCTTTCTTTTTAGTCGTTTCACACCAAAATTTCTTTGAGAATAATTAATAGGTAAAGAAAAATTATTTTATCGCAAAAAAACAACAACAGAATTTGTATTATTAGCTTTAATAAAGGAAAATGGATATAAATTTTCCTGCATTAAAACTTTGTAACGAACTTAAACTTTCTTAACAAAATTTATTTTCCCTTTCTATAGAAAAGGAGAAATAAGTTACCGACTTTCTTTAACATTTTATTTTATATCCCGTGTTCAACAGCTGACTGAATATTGAGTTATTGGCTAACAAGGTTGTCGTAATTTTGATTCCAATCCAGAAGTTAAGGGAACTAGCATTGAGAAAAACTAGCCATCATCATCATCCGAATTTGCGGTGAAAAGCAAGTATGAAAACCCCCCCAGAGTTTGCCATGTGGACTCTAACCCATTGTATATAAACTACTGACGGTATTTTACATGAGTAATGTGGTGAGTGAAAAGCGGGTGTAGATTTGGATTCGACCTTATTAAGACCATGTCTTATTATTGTTTCAAATTAGGTAAAAAGAAATTCTCGATAACATTTCGGAACTGCATATATTAACGCTATTTTGATTTGGATCATCTGCATTTTAAGAAATAAAAATTGAGTAAAATTGGATTAAGTTTTACAATTGAACACAGCAAATTTAAGAATTGACTTTTTCCAAAACGCTTGACTATTTCTATTGCCCATATATATACACAGTAATTTTTATGGATACTTTTTATTCCTTATATTTTGAAAATGATAATACATAAAAAGAAGGAAGATTAACTTCTGATCTTTCTATGTAATACACCCCGGGAAATGACCATAAAACTGTTTGAAACAGTCCTTAATATCTCAGTAATAATCTCCACAGAACTTTTCCAGTAATCTTTTTGATGTTCTAAATCAAGCTGAAACGTGCTCCAATAATAGCCGACTTATATTTTGGCAAATGGTTCAAATTTATCTCTCCAAAAATTAATTTCGTAGTTAAAAAAATAAAATGC